TCTACCATATTACAGTCAGTTTCGGAACAATATAACTCTACCTGTATTAAAGATTCGTTCGAATTCTCCGATTTTATGCAGCGTCATTCGTTGATGGATAAATTTATGCATTCCTACGATATTTTCAGTCTATTTACCTGCGTTTCACTTGCTGAGTATCGATGTATGTCAGTTGTCTCCACCTGTTATTCCTGAGGAGGTTTTCATCGAACTGATGAAATTTGGGACGATGTCAGTCGAATTTATTTTTGACAGCTTCATGTACAGGGAGGTTGATGGTGTTTCAATGGGTTCCCCTTTGGGACCCATCTTAGCAAATATCTTTCTTCGGTTTCAGAAAGAGAGTATGTTATTGAAGCCTAATAAACCTGATGTTTATTTCCGTTACGTTGATGACACTTATTGTCTCTTAGATAACGAGATTGAAGCGGACCAATTTCTTGTGTCCCTTAATAATATGCAGATCTTTGTCGGGTTTTGTTACTTATGTTTATCGAAATCGACGTTTACTGGTTTATACCCCCATTGGGATTGTTTCTATCCCAGGAAAGGTAAAATTAATTTAATTAAAACACTTACCCATAGGGCTCTTATGATCTGTTCTTAAGTTAAATTGGATGATGAACTTAGGTTTATTACTACTACTCTCTGTAACAATGCCTATCCATTGGCCATTGTTCAAGGAATAATTAAAAATAAAATTGCTGAATTCAATAAGGTTAAACCTGCTATAGTAAAAAGATGTCCTCTTTACCTGCGCATTACATGGCTGTGTAATATCAGTGATAGATATGCTAACCAGGTTTCTGTAACAGTTCGACATTGTTACTTTGCTGCTAATACTCGTCTGGTTTTCCCTGCCAAGACTATCCTTCCGTCCATGCGTAAGGACGATCTCCTTCCACATCATAATAGTTCTTTAATTTATTCCTTTAAATGTAATTGTGGTTCGCACTACATAGGGAGAACAACTCAAAGGCTGCATGTCAAAATAAAGCAACACATCCAAACAAAAATCCGCAATCTTAAGTAGATTCCCTCAGACATTCTGACCAATACGTACGGGTCTTCCATCGCAGAACGTCTAATAAATAACCACAATTGTGCTGCTAGTTTCAGTGTGGATTCATTTACCATTCTTAGCAAGTCCCACTCGAATTACCACCTGAAAGTGTTTGACGCCATTTATATTTTATCGTTGAAGCCCTCTCTGTGTAAACAGAAGGACTTCGTACTGGGCCTCCAGTGCGTGTGTGTCTGTCTGTGTGTGTGTGTGCGTGTGTGTGTGTGTGTGTAATTTAATATATGAATTAAATCCGATAGAATAATTAAATAAGAAACACACACTCAGACACAAACACTTCCAAAACCATTATAGATATACTCAGATCCTGAAACACTAATGGCAGTAATATTTCTAAAGCAGGCATTTATAAAAAAATTGCTCAATATATTGGAGAAACAAGCAGAATTAAAAACAAAAAACCCCCCAAAAAACGCATCTATGAACACAAAAGGGACCTCACAAAAGCAACTTAACTAATGCACTAGTCATACATAGAATTAAATTAAACCGCAATTTTGATTTTAAAAATGCTACACTCATAAAAAAGAAAATAACCTACTCAGCAGTGCTGCCATTGAATATTATCCAAATATTAATCTACGCCCAAGCTGTATATCTCCTTTCCTAACAGAATTACTACTCAACCAAGGAAATATACTCAACTCTATCAAGAAATCAAAAAATAAAAATGTTTGAATCTGTCAAAACAACAATAAAAACAATATTTCCACACGTGATAGTACTTGACGTCATTTTGATTTGACAGTATGAATGCAACAGCGTTTTCTAAGTTCTTCTCGATGCTAAGGAGATTTTGTTTTGTTGAAAATAGTTACTTTGTTTTCAATAAATTCATTTCGTTTCTGCCTTGAAAAAGTTCACATCGGACGAAATGCGTCGGTTAATAATACAGTTTTTCTATTGAGTTTACCTTTATCCACATACACACACGCACACGCACACACATATATATATATATATATATGCAAAAGGTCTGTGTGTGGGGGCGAGCGTGCGTGTGTGTCTGTGTAATTTAAATACACGGATTAAATCCGACAGAATGCTGAAATATGGAACAAGTTCATAAATTATAGATGTTTCGATATTATACTTGACTACATCAGAAATTCTTGGAGGAAAATAATGCAAAGTTATCTTTCACCTTTTAAATCCCATGTTGATCAGCTTTCATTTGTTTGTATAGACGTTACATGCATAGATTTATGGCGTCAGCGTTTATGTTTGTAGCAATTTTTAAATTCTGCTTTTCTTTGTTTTCATTGGTTATGTGAACGTCACGTGTATACCTCAGGCCGGTTTTGGTGCGTGTTTAATTCTTTAGATGTTAGCACGAAATTAGGTATTATAATTGTATGATGACTATGACGATATTTTATCCATCGCTAAAGATACATGTAAAATGATCGGCTCCCTGTATCGCTCCAGTAAGTACTTGAGTCCTTTTCCTATTCTCTACATTTATAAGAGCTAGATCAAGTCCAAAATGGAGTACTGTTGCCATATTTGGGCAGGAGCTGCCCAGTCTTCACTTTCCAGTCATGACAGAGTACAAAACGTCTCCTAGTCCTTGTTGGAGAATAATTATTTTCCACACTCCAAATTCTCTCTCGGAGAGGCTGGATGTGGCGAGCCTCTTATTGCACTGTTGCTAAATTCATGGAAAATCCTCGGACCTACTACAGTCCTAAGATACGCCAAGTTTAACCTTCACGGCAAGAACCCACCATGCCACTTACATAGTAGCAAACCGCAAACATTACCTGTGTACTCTGTCGGTGAGAAGACATCTTCTTCCCGCGAACCATTGCTCTGTTGGACAGACTCCAACTATTTTAGCCTGTTCAACTTAAATTATCTTCCCCTGCTATCCATATAAACAATCCTTTAACATAACCCAGTACCTCGAGTGGTCACCGGGCCTTGTACAGGGTGAACATTCATGTAAAAAATAACTTAAATACTAGTATATATCTCGAAAATGTTCCTTTAAGGATAAGTTTTATGAACGTTGGTGATATAAAGAAGCGTGTCCTGTGGCCATTATTTATCATAAATGTTATATCTATCTATCTATCTATACGCACGCACACACACACTTATATATATATATATATATATATATATATATATATATATATATATATATATATTTTTTTTTTTTTTTTTTTTAAGCATTACACCCCGAGCAAGGCGGAAAGCCACTAGGATGCAGGGGGGTTGCAGAAAATTTGGAGCAAGATCAGATAGGAGTGATAGAAGAAAGGATGAGTAGAAGGATAGTGGATAGATCAAGGTAACTGGAGATGTCGATTGACATTACATTTGAATAGTTGGAGATTATAGCTCTCAGGAAAAACAGGAATAGGGAAGGGTGTTCCACAGGCGAGAGGTGCGAGGTATGAAGCTGTTGGAGTAGAAGAGACGGCTATATTTAGGGTTTCGACAGTGAAAGGGCAAGAGTGGGATGCCAGCCTCGTAGGGCGCTTGAATTCATGAAGTCTGGGAACAAGTGAAAGCAGCTCATCGGAGCAATTACCATGAAAGCACGTCTGTGAAAGAGCGACTGCAGACGAGATGCCAGATCAGGGACAATTATATTACACACACACACACACACACACACACACACACACACACACACACACACACACACACACATATATATATATATATATATATATATATATATATACAGTGCTGTTGGATAAAAGTGACTCACCTGATTTTTTTTACTAAATGTTCTCTTCTCCGATGAAACGAAAGTTGAGCTAAATTCAAAGTATAAGCGATCTAAAATCCGAAGAAGAAGCTTTGAAAGCTCTTTGAATTTAGCAGTAAGTACTGTCAAGCATTCGTTCAGTATAATGTCCTTATGGAGCATAATAAAGTACAGGCTCTCGAGAAAGCAGTTGAGCAACATGCTCCATAAGTTTTCTATGGAGTTGAAATCAGGAGATTGGGGCAGCCATGTCATAACAAACACCTGATTCTCATCAAATTATTCCTTCATCAATGTTGATTTGTAAAAGTGAGCATTATCCAGCATGAAAAATGAGCTTGGTGGGGGTCGATTTGCACCCTTTCAGCAGAAGGGAGCAGACAAAATTCTCTTGTACTGCTCGCTCCTGAGGGTCTTTTCAATAGGTTTTAAGAAACGAGTTCCATGAAAAGAAAGGCATCCCCAGAAGATTATAGTGAATGGATGCTTGACAGTACTTACTGCTAAATTCAAAGGGCTTTCAAAGCTTCTTCTTCGGAGTTTAGATCGCTTATCCTTTGAATTTAGCTCATTTAGTAAAAAATCAGGTGAGTCACTTTTATCGAACAGCACTATATATATATATATATATATATATATATATATATATATATATATATATATATATATATATATATATAAATATCTATGTATGTTATATGTTATATATATACATATATATATATGAGTGTGTGTGTATAGATAGATAGATAGATAGATAGATAGATAGATAGATAGATAGATAGATAGACAGAACATGTATGATATATAGGACAGGACACGCTTCTTTATATCGCCAATGTTCATAAAACCTATTCTGAAGTGGTCAATATATACATATATATATATATATATATATATATATATATATATATATATATATATATATATATTTATTTATTTCAAGAGGTTATTATCCAGGGAGAGCTCGAGGTCATAGACAGAGCAAGAATATAATATAAAAGGCTCGAACACTAATATTTCATGGTTATAATTTATTTCATTGGGTTCGTAATGACCACCCAACTACTCAGACCTACAAATTCAAAGGATATTGTCGTTATTACAAGCCCAATTAAATAAATTATAACCATGAAATATTAGTGTTCGAGCCTTATATATATATATATATATTTATGGTATAAACAAATAAATATGTGTAATTGTCTCGTTTTCTATCTGTTGATATGCGAAGACATACACTTACCTCAAAGTCTGTCAGCTTGTCGTCTGTCGTCATTTCATTCAAAATGCGATAACAGACGAGGCGAACAAAGCGGAATAGTTGTCTCGTGAGCCCGGCTCGCTCAATCATGACCGAAGCCAGGCCAATTCCCAATGACGCTGTGACAAATTCTAAAAACTCTCCACTCTGATCGACACGTGAAAAGGACATTTAATTCACCCTGTTGAATACTAATGAAAAATCCCTCCAGAGACTTTGCACGAGAAAAGTTGTTGCTGTCTTCAATGTCGATCTCGCCGTTCAACTTGAAGTGTTTCAGTCAATATGATCGTCTGCTTTGCAATGTAAATTTGCAGACAAATTCTCTCGTCTAATTCTAATGGCCTCTAACTTGTCTTGCTTTTGAGTAGTCAGTAGCGTGTGTGCGTGTGAGGTAGGTGGACTGTGTGTACACGGACACGTATGGAATTATTTTTATTCCTCTTGATTTCAGTCAAATTTGAGTGTCAGAATAATATTTTGCTGCTAGTGTCCGGTCATTTAATGTAGTCATAGGGGAGAGGCTTGCCATCTTGCATTGTCACCAAACCTACCCATTAAATATCGTTGCCTTCTTGAGAAGATATATTTTGTGAAGCTATCTGCTATAGAAAAGAGCGTACGTGAAAAAAGTAACCATTTTCAAATGATATTAGTGCAGAAGGAACACAGCAACATACATTCCATATTCGAATATATATATATATATATATATATATGTGTGTGTGTGTGTGTGTGTGCCTGTGTGTGCCTGTGTGTTTGTATAAATACGATATAGAATTCAAAGTTTGTTAAAACTTGACAGATGGAAAATTGTGTTGTTGCATTGATTACGCTTTTTGCCATCTCTTCAGTTCAGAATGAAATATGTGTGCTTGATAAACCTACAGTTTTCTTTCCTTATAATCAAATTATAATTTTCTTTCTTTCTTTCTTTTTTTCTTTCTTTCTTCTGAACAACGTACAGTTTAACTTCCTTATAATCAAACTATAATTTCCTTCCTTCCTTCCTTCTTCTGTTCCTTCCTTCCTTCCTTCCTTCTTCTGTTCCTTCCTTCCTTCCTTCCTTCCTTCTTCTGTTCCTTCCTTCCTTCCTTCCTTCCTTCCTTCCTTCCTTCTTTCCTTCCTTCCTTCCTTCCTTCCTTCCTTCTGATCAGCATAGCGTTTTCCTCCTTCAAAATCAAACTCTAATTTTCTTTCCTAACTTCTTTTCTTAATTCTGATCGACCTACAGTTTCCCTACTTATAATCAAAATATTATTTTTCTTTCTTTCTTTCTTTCTTTCTTTCTTTCTTTCTTTCTTTCTTCTAATCAACCTAAAGTTTCCCTTTCTTTCTTTCTTCCTTCGTTCGTTCCATCCTTCTGATCAACCTACAGTTTTCCTTCTTCATAATCAAACTTTAATTTTCCTTCCATCTTTCCTTCCTTCTGATCAACCTACAGTTTCTTTCTTTTTTATGTGCAATGTTCCTTCAGGACGTAGGCGATCATGGCTCTCCACTTCTCCCTATCCCTTGTAGCTTTCAATAAGTTCAGTCCCTTTGCTACTTCCCCCAGGCCATCTACTGCCATCCACTTGCTTAAGCTCGCCCGGTATGGCATGCGTTGCTTTCCCTTGTCTCTCTTTCTCTCTATTCGACCTGTGAGTATCAGCTTCTCCAAGCCCTCCTTTCTCATTGTCCCAGAAATTTCAGCTGCCTCTTCCTGATGTTAATTATAAGCTTCATCCTTGTTTGCATCCTCTCCAAAACCAAATCGTTGCTCGCACCCTCGGTCTATGATATCCTTAGGATCCTTCAATAGAATCATAACTCTATTTTCATGTCTCTGTTATCTCAAGACCCTTCTTCATCTTTGAGAAGACCGTCCAACATCCGCTGCCGTAAAGAGGGACAGATATCACGAAGCAGTTTAGTGGCCTTTTCTTTGTTATTAAAGGAATCCTCCTGTCTCGTAATACTCTGCCTAACTTTTGGAATGCGTCTTTGGCCATCCCAATATATCTTCGGATATCATTCCGGGTACGTTAAAGACACCGGAACAAGGAACGCGATATTCATGATCATAATGGTATCAGAAAGAGCAATACAAATGATAGAAGAACGTGTACTTGTGTACTAGATTACGCAAAGGCGTTCGACAAATTACACCACAAAGATCTGATGAAACTGCTCAACAACCTTGACATATTTGGGGAAGATATCAGAATAATAAAGAACATACAGTTTACTTTCCTTATAATAAAATTATATTTTTTCTTCCTTCCTTGCTTCTTTCTTTCTTTCTTTCTTTTTTTCTTCCTTCCTTCCTTCTGATCAACTTTCAGTTTCACTTCCTTATAACAAATTATAATTTTTCTTTCTTTCTTTCTTTCTTTCTTTCTTTCTTTCTTTCTTCTGATCAATTTTCAGTTTCCCTTTCTTAGAAAAAATTATAATTTTCCTTTCTTTCTTTCTTTCTTTCTTATCAACTTTCAGTTTCTGTTCCTTATAATAAAATTATATTTTTTCCTCCTTCCTTGCTTCTTAATTTCTTTCTTTCTTTTTTCTTTGTTTCTTTCTTTCTTCTGATCAATTTTCAGTTTCTCTTCCTTATAATAAAATTATTATTATTTTTCTTCCTTTCTTTCTTCCTTCCTTTCTTTCTTTCTTTCTTTCTTTCTTTCTTTCTTTCTTTTCTTTCTTTCTTATCAACTTTCAGTTTCTGTTCCTTATAATAAAATTATATTTTTTCCTCCTTCCTTGCTTCTTTCTTTCTTTCTTTCTTTCTTTCTTTCTTTCTTTCTTCCTTCTGATCAACTTTCAGTTTCCCTTCCTTATAACAAATTATAATTTTTCTTTCTTTCTTTCTTTCTTTCTTTCTTTCTTTCTTTATTTCTTTCTTTCTTTCTTTCATTCTTTCTTTCTTTCTTTCTTTCTTCCTTCCTTCCTTCTGATCAACTTTCAGTTTCCCTTCCTTATAACAAATTATAATTTTTCTTTCTTTCTTTCTTTCTTTCTTTCTTTCTTTCTTTCATTCTTTCTTTCTTTCTTTCTTCCTTCCTTTCTTCTGATCAACTTTCAGTTTCTCTTCCTTATAACAAATTATAATTTTCCTTTCTTTCTTTCTTTCTTTCTTCTGATCAACTTTCAGTTTCTCTTCCTTATACTAAAATTATAATTTTCTTTCTTTCTTTCTTTCTTTCTTTCTTTCTTTCTTTCTTTCTTTCTTATCAACTTTCAGTTTCTCTTCCTTATAATAAAATTATAATTTTCCTTCCTTCCTTCCTTCCTTCCTTCCTTCCTTCCTTCCTTCCTTCCTGCCCAACTTTTAGTTTCCCTTACATATAATCAATCTCTATTTTTCCTTATTTTCTTCTTTTCTTCGTCCCTTCCTTCGTTCGTTCTTCCTTAGCAACATACAGTTTTCCTTCCTTTATAATCAAACTATAATTTTCTTTCTTTCCTTCCTTCTCCATTCATTCATTCTATTTAATGAACTTATTCCGTTCTTATGACATATTTTTCCTTCTCTCCTCCTCATTCCTTTCCTCTTTCATTGCTAATGAACAACCTATACCTTGCACTTTCTTCATTTCGATCAACCTAAAATTGTAAACCCCTATATTTTTCTTCTTTCTTTTCTCTCTTAACTTTAAATTTTCTTCCTTTCGTTTTTATCTCTTCTTTCGATTCTTTCAAATTCCTCCATTATATTTTCCACTCTGTTTCCTTCAAGATCAACCTATAATTATTCCCGCTTTTTCTGTCGATCAACCCACATACTTTCTTTCCCTGTTCACCTCTATTTCTTGCCTTACTTTTAATATGATCAGCATTTATGTCTTCATTTCTTTCTTTCTTTTCCCTTCAAATTTCTTGCTTTGTTGGAATTTGTTTATAATATCCTCCCAGCGATTCTGCATTGAATTTAAGGTAAATCCTTATCAAATTTTTCAGAATGGCTTGGAAGTAAAAGATTCATATATTTTAGGTATGTCTTTGTGTTTTCCGTGTCGATAATATGTATGTAAAAACGGAATAAAGAAACCAGACAAAGTTTGATAAATTTTGACAACTGAGAAGCTGTTTCATTGACTTGATTATGCGTCTTGCCATCTTTAGAAAGGCCTCCTCAGATCAGAGCGATAAACATATATAACCGAATGGGGAAATATAGATAGGTATACGAGCCAGCGGTCGTATACAAATGCATATAAATACTGTATAGTATAAGAAACAAACAGTGCTCAATGTAAAATAACAGATCTATCTATCTATCTATCTATCTATCTATCTATCTATCTATCTACATACAAATATAGATAACTATACTCGTTTCGAAAAACCCTCGAATTTTTGATTTGCCAATAATCAAATCAATCTTGAGGGGAAAAAAAGGTTTAAAAAAAAGAAAGAGCTACAACCATGAAAGTCTGTCGAAAAAAATCGCACAGATGCAGGTCTGAAGCCCAAAGAAAAAACCCCGATACGAGTAAACAACTAACAAAAGAGCTCAATACGACAGTAGAGCAGACCTAGATACACCTAGTGAGCCAGACAAACCTACCTAGTTTTCACCTTAACGGATCCGTTTAGGTGAAACCTAGGTAGGTTTGTCTGGCTCACTAGGTCTATCTATCTATCTATCTATCTATCTATCTATCTATCTATCTATCTATCTATCTATCTAATATCTTAAATTTATTGCACAAGTCTGAGTTTCACGCCGAAGCATTTTTCAAGTTAGAATATTTTAACAACAATAATTTTCCACCCTTACAACAAAGTATCTTGCAAGAACCAGAAAATTTTTCTATGCATCCGGCGTCAACCGAAAATAAAAATAAAAATAATTCTGGCACTTGAAAATTGCTTAATATTAAAAGTCAAATCTACAATTAATTTTGATTGGTTAATCTAGACATACCCAGAAGTATATTTTTAATTCTGAACTTATGCTTCCTACATTTAACTTCGGAAAAGAGGGAAGGATTTGTTTATAAATTTTCCCTTATAAATCATTTTTATCATAAGTTACCAACCATCGCCTGAGGAAGTACAATCATAGAATTGAAACATGAAAGCTTTTGTGTAGCCATGTGAAATGTTTTTTTTATAATCTCTTATAATAAGATATATTATTATTATTATTATTAATAATAATAATAATAATAATAATCAGTTTATGCTTATTGACATAGCAGTACCATCTGAGAGTAACACCTCCATGAACATTATTGAGAATTTGTCCAAATACAAGTAACTGGTGATCGAGATTAGCAGAATGTGGGGAATGAATATATATATATATATATATATATATATATATATATATATATATATATAGTAAAAAAAGGAAGAACAGTAAGATATGTAATCCGGCGATCTTATTGATATTTTTATTTTTAGAAAACAGTGCTCAATGTAAATTTACAGAGCATAAATATTATAAATTAACAGATTTAAAAATATGGTTTCATCGCTACACAGAAATTACCATGTTTTAAAAGCAGAAAACAAAAACTTCAAATATAATTATATTAAATTAAATGCATTAGTTCTGTTTCATCTTCAAGCGAATTTTGGAATAACTTATTTTAAAATTTACTGAGTTTTAAAAGCACATACATTCATAATTTTTGTTTCCAACGATAGAGAGAAATCCAATCAGTTAGACAGGGGCTGTAACGTGTTCTTTTTTTTTTATTAACTATTATTGTATCAGTTACGTCTGAAAAGAGGTTAAGTCTAGGTAGGGTAGGGGTACCTTTTTTCAACGAATTTTGACATCCGTTCAACGCTTGTTGTCTGTTTTTTATGAACGGCAAAAAGTTTTTCGGCATTTTATCGTTAAATTTCTACTTGTGTACATACAGATTCTTTCTAAAAAGGGTGTTTGAATTAGTATCCGTTGTATTGATCTACAATTTTAAAATATTCTTTTTACTTTTAATTTCTAATAGAATATAAATTTTTTTTTTTTTTTGTAAACAAGTAGAAAGTTGTGTTGAGACTTATTGTAAATTAATACAATTATGGCCCAAATCCGAAAAGGGAGAATGGGTTGTGTTAAAGGCGTTTGCTTTTGGTCTTTAAACAAAGCACAATGTGTTCCTAGCGACCGTTATCAATGACGTAGAAGGGAAGTTAAACAAATCCGTTTCACGTCGAAAATTGTGTCGTGAGCATGGTTTTAATTAACTTTGTTTATTTTGCATCTTGACCAAATCCAACTCGATGCCTGATATAAAAGCATACAAAATACATGTCTTAGAAGGACAATTTGAAGTAAAAAGAATTATTGATATTATGTTTAAATATTTTTTTAAAAAAAAGTACCATGTCATTCCTGATTATCGACATATTTTCTTACTGTGAAATGCCATCGATCGTTCGGAAAGAAACCGGTCTGTTCCCTCGTGGCCTACCTTACGATTTGAATTCAGAGTTTTCCTTCTGTGACTGATTACCAACCAAGGCTAGAGACGCTAGTCTATCCTGATATTTAACCGATAGCTTGGAGTAGGGAGAAGAATTTTTTTAAAAACGCTTTTATCTAAAAGGTATTTGTGCGAAAGTGTTTTTGAATTCGATTCTCGGTATCTATTTCCAGTGCTAATAAGCATTACACCGTGTACACATCCTAGATGAGCATTAAAAGGAATCAATGTAAGATGTTTATTTATTTTAGTTTTTTTTTTCCCGGGTTACGTTTTCAGGTGCGGTCTGGATAACCCACAGAGCAGAGTGTCTCAAATAAATAGCACCTCCGCGCAGAAATTCAGTCCCAAAGAACAACCCAGAATCAGTAAGTACGTTTTCATTTTTTTTTTTTTTAAATCTTTCCATTTCCAGAGAGGCTAATTCTGACATCGGCTGAAGATAATAATGGCCCAATCAGACAGAGTTGAAGCAGAGGAGCATCAATTTATTTCTAGTTAACGCATAGTGTAAAAGACTTTTCCATCATTATTGGTCTGGAAAGAACACTAAAGGGGGAAAAAATACATGGTGGACTTTCCCTATTGCCGTGATCCAGGATACTATTGATATTTCCTGCTATGTTCTTCATTTTCCATTTACCGCCTGCTGGGAGGCCGGCTTGTAAAAATTTACTTTTGCCAAAGTAGAGCGAACTTGAGACTGGCTAATCAATTGTATTAACGAGTGATTGGGGGACCTATGATTTTGTCTTGTGAATATTCCTGTGTAAGTCGACCAGAGTAGGGTAAGACATTCACTTCTGTCAAATACAAAGCAGCTCAAAGTCGGTCGTAAATTTTGAAATACCACTTTTATTTGCAAGGGATATTTTCCAAGGGCACCATGGGACGCCGGAAACGGCTGGAAATGTCGAAAAGGTTTTTGTATCCGGGGAGATTATTGGAGATTTTTCCTGGTCCGCTTTCAATGAAAGTAAGGAGAAGGAATAGCTTATAAAGATGTAAGATTGTGTATTTAAAATAAAAGGGGGATAATTTATCGTTCAGTTTCGCATACCAATCGATTAAATTTGAATAAGCTGAGTTTTTTTAGAAATATTTCGCAGTCTAAAAATTTCTTTGATTTAATTTAATTATATAGAACTTCATGGTAAACAATATTTTTAAGGAAAATATCATTTTTCCTTTTTAACAGAAAATAATAAAGATTACGATTTCTTACTCTTGAGCCTGCAACATAGAACTGGCCATGCATAAACATTTTTTTTCTGGGGACATTTTTTTCAAATTTTTGAAGCGGTAGGCCTTTTGATTTAGTTATAGTTTTCGCAAACGCAGGCCGAACTAAAAATTGGATTCTTCAATATATATATATATATATATATATATATATATATATATATATAGCTATGCTTAAAACAATATTGAATGTTATTAAGTAAGCATTTCTTTTAATTATTAAACTGCTTTTTAAAATAGTGCAAGTGAAAGTTAGTTTTTGCAAAAAAATAAATGAAAATTTATTGTACTAAGCAACACACCTTACTAAAAGCAACGGTACTTTGTATTCCCTTATTTGTTTGCACTTCCCTTCAAAATTTGGTTTCGATCGGTCAATTTATGGCTATTTTAGAGGGTGTGATAGACGGAGGCCACACCATTTTATAGATAGATTTCTGAAATGCGATATATTTGACAGGATCATTTGATGGTCACATATCCCTGGAAAAGAAAAAAAAAATAGAACTTGAAGTGGAAAAACTCTACTGAATCAATAGCTGCATCTACTGCAAGGAAAGTTGGGTCATTGCGTCGTGCCAGAAGGTTTTTCTCGTGAGAGTCCATCTTGCACATTTACAAATCTACCATTCGTTAGTGCATTGAATACTGTTATCATATCTATTCATCTTGAGGTCCTTCGGTTTTTGACAAAATCCAAAGAAGGATCTGCAATGTAATCCAGCCTGACTTAACACCTTTAAGTTAATTTCTCAGAGATGCGATATTTCTTCCCCGTGTCTTTTATACAAATATTTCCATGGCAACTGCTCTGACGATCTTTTCTCCCTAGTGTTCCGACTACATGAGTTTAAGTGTGCTACAAAATTGGCATCTACGTCCTACCGTTTTACTGTTGAAATAGTGAAATGTAAACGCCACTTCTACTCCAACAGTTTCTTTTGTCGCACTTCCAACCCGTGGAACTCCCTTCCGTTTAATTTCTTCCCTGATAACTACAATCTTCAAGAATTTAAATGAAATGTCACACGCTATCTTCTGTCTTCTTCAATCCCGTTCGTCTTTTATCCTTTCCGCAATCCTCCTATGCCCAATCTTTTCTCAATTTCATTCTCACTAACCCCGCTGCGTATAAGTGGCATTCCCAAATTGCTTGCAGTGAAATTATTTTAAAAAATCCTCAGAAGACAATAATTTTCGTTTTTTTTTTTCTTACTGTTTATTGTTTGCAGACTGTTGTGTGTTTTTTTTTCATTTTTATTCAGGAATAATTTTTCTTTTTATTCATTTGGTTCATTATTCATTTTCGAATTTTTATTTGCACGATTCTCAGGAGATCAGTACTCCTACTCAGTCAGTCTTACTGTCTTTACTACCTTGATATTATATTACAGTCACTTTTAAGATATGCACTTCCATCTCTGTACAGAACACGTCTGTAATTTTTTCGAGTTTCATCTGGTTCGACTTTGATGATCGTCACAATACAATCGATCTGTGTTTAAATTACAAAAGGCTTTTATTATTATTATTAGTAGTAGCAATAGTAGTAGTGGTATTATTAAGTGTAGTGGCACAAAGTTTTGCATTAGTCGTGTCAGTATCAATATATATTACGCGAAATACCAATATATATTAAAGATTGAGAGATAATGATATGTCTATATATAAATCGATATTGTCGTAATCGTTTATGCATGTAGGTTGATCTAAGTCCTATAAATATCTACAAACACACACACGCAGAAACATATATATATATATATATATATATATATATATATATATATATGTATGTATGTATTTTAAAAAGAAACAGTGTGGAAAATTTAATCTTGCTGATGCAAAAGGTAAAATGCCGTTTCCACTCGCAAAACAGATTTTAACGCCGAGAAATGAAACGACAAACGAATCTACCAAAAATCCACAGAAAATGAAATAAAATAAATAATGGCTGCCGCCGGAAATGGGTGTAAAAATGTCAGCAGAAATAACGAAATTATGCTTTGTTTTCTTTTTCGTTTTTTTTTTTTATTGTTTTTTTTAATTCAAAATCAATATGAAATATTTGCTCGAATTCCTTGCCACTTGCAAAGACATCTATCTTGGCTTGAGTGCTTCGACGTCCTGTGACACACTCACACACACACACACACATACACACACACGTGCATACAGAAAGGCGCACACGCGGAAACCAACACACATAAATGCATTCTCGCACATACAATCTTACAAGAATATATGCCCGCACACACACAGTCTTACGCACAACTATACACAAACGCGCACGAGTGCCCGCAAACACACACACACACACACACACACACACACACACACACACACACACACACACACGAAGAAACTCACGGGTACCCACACATACACAGAGAAAGGCGCCGACACGGAAACCAACAACCATACATGCATTCTGACACATACAAGCTTACAAGAAGACAGGCACATATAGGCACGCATACACAGTCTTACGCACGACTCTACACACACACACAAACGCACACACCCATACATACACAGACACAGAGAAACTCACGCGTACGCACACATACAGAAAGGCACATACACGGGAACCAACACACATACATGCATTCTCACACATACAAGCTTACAAGAAGACTATCACATATATACACGCATACACGTAGTTTTACGCACGACTAGACACACACACACACACACACAGATAAATATAAGGACGCATACATATGCAGAAACACGTGCATGCACGCACGCACACAAGGAACTGGTGCATATGTACAAATACGTAGGTTCACTCACAGAGACCAAGCCACAAACGCGTATTCGCGCACAAACAAGTTTACTCCTAGACAGACTTCTGTCTGTGCACATGCACTCACACTAACATACGCAATCACAAAACCTTCGCGCACATACAGCGGCAGATATACGTAAGTATTAAAACAGATACAGACATCGACGCACATCCATAAATGTACCCAAATATAATTGACTGAAGAAAGTACCCAACGGAACTAAACACTCCAGGCATTGTAACGGTGTCTTTTCAAATAATAATTTCAATGCAATAGTATTTTTTCAAGCAATAATTTCCACGTGACGGAAAGTGCAGAACGGAGGTTATAAATAAAGCAGAGAATACCTTACAGAATAATATATAAGGCCCATAATATTTGACAAAACAGAGAAATGTCTAGGCGCATGATACAATACAGAATAGAGAATACACTATTTACATTGTTCGGATTATCGTCCTCGTCTTTGTTGCCATATTTATCACAACGTTTCGACCGTTGTACGCTCCGGCCTTCTTCAGGCGATTGGAATGTCGACCTGAATCCTTTATTTCGCTCGCTGGGGTAGACTGTTCTAGTTCCACGTGCCATGTCTAATGGATGTCAGTTATCAGTTATATCCTGTTAATTGCCCTCTCCAATTTCTTCACTGCCTTAACCAGGTATTGAACTCACAATCTTTGGGTCCTGCCACTGGATCTAACTAACGCCTTTATCCACTGTGTCATATGTCCTTGAGGACTTGAGAATAGCGAATATAAATAATACACAGAATATCATATAGAATAGGAAATATAGCTAAAGCAGAAAATATCTTACAGAATAGAGGATTTAGATAAGGCCTAGAATAATTCAGGAATTACGGAATATAAGTAAGACCCAGAATACATTACAGAATAGAGAATATAGTTAAGGCACAGAATACTATACAGAATACTAAATATCTAAAAGATCTAGAATAACGTGCAGAATATGGATAAGGTAGGGAATACCTTATAGAATAGAAAATATATCTTCACTATTCTGTAATTCACAGAATACCCTATGGAATATAAGAATATAATTAAGGTCCAGAATACCTTGCAGAATAAGAATATGGATAAAGTAGCGAGTACCTTATAGAATAGAAAATATATCTTCTCTATTCTGTAATTCACAGAATACCCTATGGAATATAAGAATATAATTAAGGTCCAGAATACCTTGCAGAATAAGAATATGGATAAAGTAGCGAGTACCTTATAGAATAGAAAATATATCTTCTCTATCTGTAAGGCTCAGAATACACAACGGAATAAAGAATATAATTATGGCCCAGAATACCTTACAGAATAGAGGATATACGCAAAGCCACAAAAACCTTGCACAATAGAAAATTGCGTAAGGCGAAGAATAACCTAAGAATACAAATATATATGTAAGGTCCAGAATGCATTACACAACAAAGAATATATGTAAAGCCCCGAATGACGTGTAGAATAGAGAATATAGGTAAGTCACCTACCTAATAGAATAGAGAATCCAGAAAAATATTGAAATGAATACAGAAGATGAGGAATTTCTCTGAGACTAGGAGAAAAGCAGAGATAAATTAAAATAATCATTGCAATAGTTTGCCTATCGCAATAGATATTTTAATTACAATAAACAATAAGGAGGGCAGAAAAGGAAATTGTAATGACAAAACTACGCAGGTGTAAGCTTTAAAAAAGCTTTATTCAACTGAGAATACAAGGTTCGCGTATAGTGTCCTTTTATAGCCCCAGTAAAAAGAAATAGCTCTCTTAAAGAGGAGTGTAACAAAACAAGGGGAGACAACTCTTGATTATTCATGACAGAAAAATCTCGCTTTTTTTTAACGGCTATAAAACGACAAAATGCTTCAGAAATTTCACATGATTTTTCACCAGGTGCCTCAGCATTTTGCAGAAGGATTTTATCAATTGTAAATTTATTTTTTTCCAAACATACGACCCGCAAATGGACAAAATTAAAGATCGTGCACATAAACACCGATTTACAAAAATAGGTCCGAAAATCTTTACGAAATAAAAAAAAAAAAAAAACCCCAAAAAACCTCAGAACTCAGTTAATAAATCTGATGTTTACAACCACAATATAAGTAGCGTAGCATCTGTCTATATTTCTGATAACAGCAAAAATTGCAATATGAGCACCGGTAAAAAAATGATGCTGAAGACATTAGGTTTATAATACCCAGAAATTCATACACAGATGTCCTTAAGGATACATGGAACAGTGGATAAAGGCGTTAGCTAGATCCAGTGACAAAACTCAAAGAGAGTGAGTTCAATACCCGGTTAAGGCGGTGGAGAACTTTCAGAAGGAAATTAACAGGAGGTAACTGATAACTGACATCCATTAAACATGGCACTTGGAACTAGAACAGTCTACCCCAGTGAGCAAAATAAAGGGTTCAGTTTGACATTCCAACCACCCAACGGCCGAAACGTTGTAATAAATATGGCGAAAAAGATGAGGACAATATTCCAAATAATGTTGTGTAGGGTTTTTCAATAGGTTGTGTTTGAACACATAATTTCGTTTCATACGTGACTGAAATTTATGAGATATATACGTATTATTGAAAGGTGACCTTTGATGGGTTGATTTTAAATGTTTACAAGTTGAAAGTGTAATACATTTTTTCGCATTTGATGCTCTTTTATTTCTAAAGAACAGTCTACCCCAGTGAGCTAAAAAGGATATGTGCGGTTTATGGAGATGGTGCTATAGCTGAGACTATTGTTTGTAAGTAGTTCATGGAACAGGAAATTTTAATCTGGAAGACCGAGCATCATACGGGGTACGGTTGTCGAGGATGATGAGCTAATGGAAAATCTGATTTAAAAACATCCAGATCACATAACACGGTTTATCGAAATGCTGGTTATGCTTCAAGGAAGGTTGGTTCATTGTCTCGTGTAGACATTGCCCGAATCTATCTTACATATTTATAGGTCTAACGATGGCTTGAATATCACTAGAGCATATGTGGCATTGCTGCCACATATGCTCTAGTGATACTGCTATATATTTAGAAATGCTTGATAAAATCCCAAGAAGAATCTGCAATATCATTGGACATGACCTGGCATCTTGGTTACAGTCATACTCCCATTGACGTAATGCAGCTCCACTTTACCGTTTCTATGAATACTTTTTTGATAATTGTTGTGATAAAATTTCCTCTTTGGTACCTAGACTTTGTGAATTTAAGCTTCGTACTAGAATGGCTTAATGATGCCCGGTGTGGTGCAATGGATCTAGGCACGGAAAAAGAAATCGGAGAGTCGAGTTCGAATTCAAGTCGGGTTCATTAAAATCATTTACGCTCAAATACCTTTGGTATAAATGCATCTCTTCTATCCGTAGGTTTGAATAGCAAGACAGACTGGGTCCTCTAGCCTTGGTTGGTAATCAGTCTACCGCAGAAAGAAACTCTCAAAATACTGCGCTAAAATACCCTTGACATAGGTCTGAATCCATCTCTACATCACACAGCTGGGGGTTGAATAGCAAGACGGACTGGGTCCTCTAGCCTTGGTTGGTAATCAGTCTAAAGAAAGAAACGCACAAAATATTGCGCTAAAATACCCTTGATATAGGTCTGAATCCATCTCTACATCACACAAATGGGGGTTGATTAGCAAGGCGGACTGGGTCCTCTAGCTTTGGTTGGTAATCAGACTACCGCAGAAGGAAACTCTCAAAATACTGCGCTAAAATACCCTTGACATAGGTCTGAATCCATCTCACATCACACAAATGGGGGTTGATTAGCAAGGCGGACTGGGTCCTCTAGCTTTGGTTGGTAATCAGTCTACCGCAGAAAGAAACTCTCAAAATACTGCGCTAAAATACCCTTGACATAGGTCTGAATCCATCTCTACATCACACAAATGGTGGTTGATTAGCAAGGCGGACTGGGTCCTCTAGCTTTGGTTGGTAATCAGTCTACCGCAGAAAGAAACTCTCAAAATACTGCGCTAAAATACCCTTGACATAGGTCTGAATCCATCTCTACATCACACAGCTGGGGGTTAAATAGCAAGACAGACTGGGTCCTCTAGCCTTGCTTGGTAATCAGTCTAAAGAAAGAAACGCACAAAATATTGCGCTAAAATACCCTTGATATAGGTCTGAATCCATCTCTACATCACACAAATGGTGGTTGATTAGCAAGGCGGACTGGGTCCTATAGCCTTGGAGGGTAATCAGTCTACCGCAGAAAGAAACTCTCAAAATACTGCGCTAAAATACACTTGACATAGGTCTGAATCCATCTCTACATCACACAAATGGAGGTTGATTAGCAAGGCGGACTGGGTCCTCTAGCTTTGGTTGGTAATCAGTCTACCGCAGAAGGAAACTCTCAAAATACTGCGCTAAAATACCCTTGACATAGGTCTGAATCCATCTCTACATCACACAAATGGGGGTTGATTAGCAAGGCGGACTGGGTCCTCTAGCTTTGGTTGGTAATCAGTCTACCGCAGAAAGAAACTCTCAAAATACTGCGCTAAAATACCCTTGACATAGGTCTGAATCCATCTCACATCACACAAATGGGGTTGATTAGCAAGGCGGACTGGGTCCTCTAGCTTTGGTTGGTAATCAGTCTACCGCAGAAAGAAACTCTACAAAATACTGACATAGGTCTGAATCCATCTCTACATCACACAAATGGGGGTTAAATAAAACTGGGTCCTCTAGCCTTGCTTGGTAATCAGTACCCAAAATATGAAAATACATTGAGGTCTGAATCCACATCACACAAATGGGGGTTGATTAGCAAGGCGGACTGGGTCTACATCACACAGCTGCGGACATAGGTTGAATCCATCTCACATCACACAGTTGGGGTTGAATACCAAGGACTGGGTCCTCTAGCCTTGGTTGGTAATCAGTCTAAAGAAAGAAACGCACAAAATATTGCGCTAAATACCCTTGATATAAGTCTGAATCCATCTCTACATCACACAAATGGGGGTTGATTAGCAAGGCGGACTGGGTCCTATAGCCTTGGAGGGTAATCAGTCTACCGCAGAAAGAAACTCTCAAAATACTGCGCTAAAATACCCTTGACATAGGTCTGAATCCATCTCTACATCACACAAATGGGGGTTGATTAGCAAGGCGGACTGGGTCCTATAGCCTTGGAGGGTAATCAGTCTACCGCAGAAAGAAACTCTCAAAATACTACGCTAAAATACCCTTGACATAGGTCTGAATCCATCTCTACATCACACAAATGGAGGTTGATTAGCAAGGCGGACTGGGTCCTCTAGCTTTGGTTGGTAATCAGTCTACCGCAGAAAGAAACTCTCAAAATACTGCGCTAAAATACCCTTGACATAGGTCTGAATCCATCTCTACATCACACAGCTGGGGGTTGAATAGCAAGACGGACTGGGTCCTCTAGCCTTGGTTGGTAATCAGTCTAAAGAAAGAAACGCACAAAATATTGCGCTAAAATACCCTTGATATAGGTCTGAATCCATCTCTACATCACACAGCTAGGGGTTAAATAGCAAGACAGACTGGGTCCTCTAGCCTTGCTTGGTAATCAGATTAAATAAAGCATTAACTTACTAACTACTCACTGAACGACGCGATTCTTGTTTTGTATATACACGGTGGAGTAATGAATAGTGGCTTGGATTGAGGAATCGCAGAGCCGAGTTCGAATTCCAGTCGAATCCATTACATTCACTTACGAGTTGACTTGGGAAAGGTGTGAATCCTCTTCTTCTCCATCCAGCTATGGGTAAATAGCAGGACAGACTGGGTTCTGTAGCCTTGGATGGCAACTGGTCTAGGAGAAGGACAACTCTGAATTGAAAACCTGCGGAGGGTCGTTTGGGGACCTTGTGGCACTTAGTGCACCAGGTCTCTGTTATTCGGCCCTTCAAAAAGTGTGGATGGTCCTGCACGAAACCTTCACCACTATAATCAATTCTCATGTGATGTTGTCGGGCTGTCGGTTTTCTGGGAACTGATCTGCTTGACCCTTAGACGTCGAACTCGACGGGAGAGTCGACTATATATATATATATATATATATATATACTATGATATTTACCACGTGAACTACGATGAAAATAAAATGAAAAAAAAGATATGGTATATAACTTTGTTTTTACGTAGAGGTTTCTTGAGTCATTTATTTTAAGGGTAATACAAGGATAAAAAGGTTGGGAAACTCTGGATTAGATGTTAGGTCCATATTGAGGAAAAATAACATCTATGCCTGACGATGGAGAACAATATATACCAAACATCTCATCAATTGTACAATTAATAAAAAACTAGGATCGCGTCCTTTAGCCAATGGTCAGTAAGTTAATGCCTTATTTAATATGTTAGCGAAGTGAATTCGCCATTAATTACATTTATTGATGTATTCTTTGAAAGACTATTTTACAAAATAATTTAATGTATACGTATTATCTTTAGATTATATTAATGAAGAAGAGCGTAGACGTTACGAATTTGAGCTCAGTACTAAATTGGCGGCGAAATCTCAATTGCAGTTGAAAAGAGATATTTTTATACTAACATCTTTTCTCGAACTTTTTTTTTAACTTTCTTTCGGCATTATGTCTTAGAGTAAAGTTTGATCTTCAAAAATTTAAATAGAATATCTATTGTTATCCTGTTCTGTTCTTGTTCTTGCTATATTAATAATGTTTCTGTTTTCTTATATTCACTCGGTAACTCCCTGTCTCTTAGTGGATTTATTCATGTGAGTGGTGAAAGTCATTTGAAAACACTTGTATGCGTCAATTTTTTTGGGTGTCTCACTATTTAACGAAAAGAATTTAATGGAGCACGTGTCCATTTGCGATTATCTCTGTTCAATAAAAGCTTGCCATATGTTTCGAAAAGAAAGTTCGTAAGTAGTGAAAATGGGTTCATTACTAAAAAACGGAGCGAAAAAAAATCAAATAAGATGTTATTAAAGACCACAAAACCGAGTCTACTCCAAAAAATAAATAAATAAATAAAAATAAAAAAATAAAAAAAAATAAAAGGAAAAGCGATGCTTTATATGAGTGCGGAAGGGTATTGTGTTATTATGCGCTATTCCCTTCAAATAAGACGTTGAATGCAGAAAATAATCCCGCCAATTGGATCGATTATAGGCAGCATAAAATTCGTTAAAAAGCGCCCGAGGAACATATCCAAAAAGAAAGGGAGTCGTTTTTCATCCGGACAATACCAGATTTCGTGTATCTTCTGGCAGACGTTGCCAATTTTTTTTGCTGGCACGCTCTACTCCAAATATCGTACCTACCTGATTTTGTGCATTCGGATCCCGACTTCTTACGACCCCTGTTCTTAATGTGAAGAACTCCAATTCACTGAAAGCCTCTCAGAACCAATTAGACGAGTTCCTCACCCAGAAAGATGCCAAGTTCTCAGAGGATAGAATCATGAAGATAGCGAAAGGTGCTGGAAACAATATGGCACATATGTGGTTCCAAACAATCTGTTTTCTTCTTCTATGTGCCGTGTCCCTTCAGAACGTAGGCAGTCACGTCTCTCCACAACTTCTTATCCCTTGCAGGTCTTAGTAACGTCTATCTCTTTGCCATTAACCCGCACACCCGTCCGTCATCGATTCACAAAAGCAGGTCAGATACCCATCTTTTTAATATTCGGTATGCGCCGTTCATGTCAAATTCTTCAAACCAACCTTCTTCATGATGTGTTCAAGAAATCGAAACTGCCTCTTTTATAATTCTGAGTATAAGGGTACTTTTTGTTTCCATTTTCTTTTAAAATTCTTCATTTACTTACCCGTTCTGTGCATGGTATTCTCAGCATCCTTCAGAAGAACCACACTTCTGTTACCTTAAGTCTCTGCTTCTGTGAGGAGATTGCCCAGCATTCATTGACATAGAGGAGGATCGGTATTACATGTCGGTTTATTACTGTTTTCTTCGTTTCTAACAAGCTTTTCTTGTTTCTTGATACTTTTCTTAACGTTTAGAAGACATGTTTCGCTATATGCAATGTACCTTCCGATTTCAAATTTCAATATCTTTTTTTCTTGCTTCTATTATTTACATTTTGTTGTTTTTTTTTCAATAGTTTTTCTTTTTTCTTAATTTATTTTTTTTCTCTAGCCATCTTAATTTCAGTGCCTTTCGAACTACCTATATTGATTCCGCCTTTCCTTCTAATCAAGCAATAATTTTCCTTCATTCGTTCGTTTCTTATCAATCTATCCTTTTCACTCTTTCACTTTTTTTTTAATCAGTTCACACCAAGCAAGGCGATAATGTCACTAAGACATTCGGGGGTGGAGGGAAAGAGACCGCAAAGGCTTTAGAAGGAAGCGGAAAGCCCATCCTAAACAAGAAACGGTTCCTCGGACTTTTGAACAGGAGGGAAGATATAAACCTTCACTCCTGTTCAAAAGACCGGGGAAGCGTAAGAACTGGACGATAGACGAACGCATCTGCTCTTGTTGAGGAGAAATATGAAGTAAATAAAACTTCAGACTTTAGAAATATAGACTTGAAGTAGACTTTAGAATGAACCGCAAACCCAATCTTAAGCAGGAAACAAGGGATAAACTTGTTTAAAAGACCGGGGTGGACTGTAAATTGGACGATAGCTGAACCAATCTATTGATAAGCATATAATGTTCTTTCCGTTTTTTCTCTCTCGTTCCTTCGTTCTCTTGTTCCTCCATATGTTTTCTTTCCTTATGATAACTCTGTATTTTTCTTTCCTTCCTTCCTTCCTTCCTTCCTAAATTCCTTCCTTCCTTCCTTCCACTTTCTTCCTTCATTCCCCTTCCTTCATTCCTTCCTTCCTTCCTTGCTTCCTTCCTTCCTTCTTTCCACCCTCCCTTCCCCTTCCTTCCTTCCTTCCTTCCTTCCACCCTCCCTTCCCCTTCCTTCCTTTCTTCCCTTTCCTTCCTTCCTTCCTTCCTTCCCTTTTTTCCTTCCTTCCTTCCTTCCTTCCTTCCTTCCTTCCTTCCTTCCCCTTCCTTCCTTCCTTCCTTCCTTCCTTCCTTCCTTCCTTCCTTACTTACTTCCTTCCTTCCTTTCTTCCTTCCTTCCTTCCTTGTAAACCCCTATATTTTCCTTCTTTGTAACCGACCTATAATTCTTCCCTTTGTCTCTTTTCTTAACGTCAAAATTTTATTCCTTCGATTTTTTCTTCCTTCTTTCGATTCTTCCAAATTCCTCCCTTCTATTTTTTTCTCTGTATTTCTTCCTTCAAGACAAACTATAATTATCCGGCCATCTATTTTCACACAATTAACCCACATTTCTTTCTTTCTTTCTTTCTTTCTTTCTTTTCTTTCTTTCTTTCTTTCTTTCTTTCTTTCTACCGGTTTGTCACCTCAGTCTTTTTGCTATCCCTTTCCTTTCCTGCTTTTCGTCAACGTCTATCCGCCATTTTTAATTTTGTTCTCTTTCCTCCTGTCTGTCTTTGGCGAACGTAACTATTTCCCTGCTCTTGCGAACATTTCGAAAATCTTTTTGCCGTATTGGAACGATTCCTTCAAGCTTTCTTGCCAATTACTTCTAAAAAGCATCAAACGCTAAAAGATGTTTTCACTAAAAACGAAACCTGCTTAACTCAAATAGCCGAGAGGCTCGTCCTGTGTCGACTGAAGGACACCGGGTCGATTTTATATGTCGTGAGAGTAAGCGATAACATTTAATGCCAGCGGATTTCTTTCTGTGCTTCTATATTTTTTATTCTTTAGAGATCAAGATACTGTTGTATTACAGCGATAATATTTAAACTTTCGACTGTAGCGGAAAAATACGCCTAACTCTCTCTCTGTTATGAAAAAGGTTAAGGCCATATCACTTTGAAACACTGGTTCCCGTGGAATCAGTGATGTTAAGCAATGTCGAACCTGTTCTAATGGATAACGGCACCCGACTTGGAATTGGAACACGGCTTTCAGATTAACAATTCCATGCCATTATCCATTTGATATATCCAAGCTTACAATACCCTTTCGGGAAAGGAATTAATTCACATATTCTCCCGCAACTATGGGTTAAATAGTAAGACTTGTATCACTTTCGCAGCACAGCATTCTTACAGTCTAAAAATATTTCCTGGCTTTAAATAACTTGAAAAGGGTTGATAAACCGTAGAAAACGAACCAATCAATAAAATACTGATTAGCTACACGGTCATATCTTTTAGATTCATTGACATTGTCTGGAATATAATTTTAACGTTGTATCGATCTTTACGGAAATTATTCGAGAATAAATGGGATTATTTTAAAATAAAATAAAATAAAGAGATTATAGAAATCGTTTTAAGTCTGTGACTGGATTAAAATATACTCGAGCACTAGGAAAACTAAGCGTACAAGCAATTTGAAAGACAAACTGAAATGAATATTTGTGGCGTGAGGTTTAATTTTTTTTTAAGCATTTTAAGCATATCACCCCAAGCAAGAGGGGAGTGCCGCTAATGCGCAAGAGGTTACAGAGAATGAAGGTAGAGGAAAAAAAAAAAAGAGGAGATTAAGGAAAGGAAAAAAAAAACATGAACGGGAATCAAATCATCAGAAGATGATGATTAGCATTACATTTAAATTTTTGAAGATTGTTGTTATCGGGGAAACAAGTAAGGGGAAGGGAGTTCCACTGTCGGGAAGTGCGAGAGAAGAAGCTGTTGGAGTAGAAGAGACAGTTACATTAAATTGTTTCGACACTAACGCTTAAATTTATGTAGTCGAGGCACCATGGAAAATAGCGCGTCAGAGCGGTTGCCATCAAAATACTTGTAGAAAAGACAGAGGAAAGCCACATCACGCCTGTGAGAAAGTTTCTGTGATCGAGGTGCCAAATCAGGACCGATGACATTGCAGATTCGTCGAGAACCTCAAGATGATTTACTTTTCTATTTAGCAACGACCTAAATGTCAACTAGCTTTTTTCTCTGGTACATAATGAGGGAATGAATCTTGAAGAATGTAACGCTCTCAGGGTATCTCGAAAAGAAGAGTGACAGGGTAAGGCAGCGGGCCAGCTACCTGATGAGATTGAGATGAGATAGCGAGACGGCAACATATCAAGAGACAACGATAAAGAGACAAACGTTGCTAATGGTTGCAAGGGATAGGAGGTTGTGGAGAGCCATGATCATCTATATTTTATAGGGTAACGGAAAATAGAGGAATTTAACATTTATATTTTCGTCTTCTTTAATGAAACGTGTTCTTTCAGAAGATGGATGATCATGGCTCTCCACACTTTTCTATCCTTTGGTGATCTAATCCATATTTGTCCCCTTTATACTCCTTGTTCTGTTACCCATTTACACAAAGTCGGTGACTCCTTCTGCACTTCTTGACCTCATTATTGCCTGTAGGAGTCATTTTTTTCAAAACTCCTCACCTCGTTACGTGTACCAGAAATTTCAACTCGGTGATTTTTAGTTGCAAGTGTACTTTTTGTTTCTTTATTTTCCTTAACAATTCTTCATTGCTCGAATGTTCCATTCATGGAATTCTCAGTATCCTTCTGTAGAACTACATCTCAGCCATCGGAAGTCTCCTCTTCATCTCTGATGAAATTGTACAACATTCTCGCCTATACAAGACGATTGAGATTTGGCATATATTTTTGTATCTGCCGAAAGGTTCCTGCTTCTTAATATTTCTGTTAAAAGCATTTTACCCCAAGCAAAGCGGGTGTGCCACTAGCACGCAAGAGTTTACAGAGAGTGCGACCAAGAGTAAAGAAGCGTGATTGAGGAAAGAATGAAGAGAAGGACGGGGAATCAGATCAAGGCATCTGAAGACGTCGATTGACATTACATTTGAATAATTGAAGATTATAGCTATCAGGGAAGCAAGTGAGAGGAAGGGAGTCCCACAGACGGGAAGTGCGAAACATGAGGCTATTGGAGTAGAAAAGACGGCCACATTTAACAGTTTCGACAGTGAAAGGCTGGGACTGAGATGCCAACCTAGTAGCACGCTTAAATTCATGCAGTTTTGCGAAACAGCGAAAGTAGCTCGTCGGAGCAGTTACCGTGAAAGTAATTGTAGAAAAGACAGAGGGAAGTGACTGTAGTCGAGATGCCAGATCAGGACCCATCACATTGCATATCCGTCTTTGGAGTTTGTCGAAGACCTTGAGACAAACAGCGGAGGCTACACACCATATAAGGCGGCAGTATTCTATGCAAAGGCGAATGGTTGATTCCTAGATTTGAAGGATGATTATCTTTTGGAAATCAGCTTTCGTTGTTCCAACTGTTCGGCGGATTCCTGTTTCACATTTTCCGTTAGCTGTTAAAGCACTGGCCAAATAGTTAAATTTCTACACTTGTTTTGTCTCTCATGTCTTCAATTTGTAACTTGAATCTTTCAGCTGCCCCGCGTGCTAACGGCCATCCATTTTGTCTTTGAATATATAAACACAGTTGGCTCAATATTGAACATTTCCGATAGACGAAATAAACACTGTTTAAAAACAGAGCAACTACTAAAATAATTGTATCTAATAAAATAATGCTTGAAGCAATAACGATATCGTATCAATTAAAATCTATTAATAATTTAGAAACATGTAGCAAAACGGTATGGGTTTCCAGTCGTATACTGTCTTTTTTTTTTCAGTCTCAATCGGTGAGACTATCGCGAATCTTGACATTCGACTCGACTCTCGCTCCTGTCATTTTATCTCATGGCTGAAGCTTGAAAATTTGAATCAACCACAGATTCGTCTCGCAAAATCTTGAAGCTGCGAGATCCTGTCGTTCTTAAATTATAGCTAAATAAATCAAGAAAGATGAGGATAATATTATCGCACGATTCCAGAAATTAACTAACTCCTTCTGTTATTCTTTATTGTTCCAAGAGTCCAAACAGACTCCAAATAGAAAACTGTATTCCTATCTGAACTCGAACTTTCCAATACTCACTTTCCAGATTGACAGAACTCCAACACGTTTGCGGGGCCTTACAGGGGGATGAATTATTTTTCAGCCCACTGTCAAATATGATATGTCGCTAGCTTATCGATACTCTATCGCGACTTCAAAAGCAAAATCTCAGATGAGCTCCATTCTTTAGTGCCACCAATTGAAACTTTTACAGCCAAGAGCGACATTGCTACGTCCACAGGATTGAATCATCCTCATTACTTAACCATTCCTTTAGTAAACAGGAAGTTCCATTTGGACTGCTTCTCCCCAAGACTTAATAAGTAAGTTTGATCGGTTCAATAAGGTCAAATTGGCATCTGATCTCTAAAATGACCTAACATCTGTTGTTAACTGGGGCAAGGAATGACATGTTAATTTTAACGCCTCCAAAATGAAACTGATCTTATTTAATCGTCTGAGGGAACCGTTTCTACATTCCATCAGTATGGCTGATGCTAACCTCCAGGAGAGTGACTCAGTGCGCCTTCTTGGACTAACGTTTTCAGCAGCCATGCAGTGTAAAGATTATATTCCATCCATTGCTAGTTCTGCAGCTAGGAAAGTTGGTTCAATGTGTTGTCCTATATATTTTTCTAGCAAAAATCTATCTTATATATTTACGAGTCTACAATTTGTCCTAGCTTTGAATAATGTTGACACATGTGGTCTGGTGCTCTTGCTATATATTTGGAGATGTCATCCACAGAAGAACCTGCAATATTATTGGTCCTGGCCAGGCGTCTAGGCTTCAGTCACTTTCTATCCGCCGTAACATAGAATCCCTGAGCCTTTTCTATAAATAATTTGATGGAAAATTTTCGGGTGAACTTTCCTCTGTAGTACGTGGGCATTATGAATTTAAGCGCAGTACTTGATTGGCGGCTAGGGCCCAAAATTTTACAGTTGAGATTGCTAGTAGTCACTAAAGTTCTATTCTAACAGCTTGTTCTGTCGCACTCCTTGCTTTTGTAATTGCCTCATGGCTTCTTACTTCCCAGTGAACTTTGATCTTCACAAATTAAAATGCAATGTCAATCGGTATCTTTTGTCTTTTTAATTCTTGTTCTTTTATTGTTCTCTCTGATTAATAATGTTTTTGTCTTAGTTGCTTTATTGCCTTGAGGTGAAATGATTAAAAAAACTTTACTGGCAAGTAGCAACCCTATTAGTAGAAAAACAATTGAAATTAAATGAAAGCAATCCTTTCCTCATAAAATGATTTGATTAACTGTGATGAAAAAAAAAAATGAAATTAAGATGAAGAAATCCGCGTAAAAATTAATAATGGCTGATGATGCTTCATTTAACAAAAATTCAAGATAATATTTAAATGCAATGTCAATCGTAATCTTTTGTCTTGTTAATTCCTGTTCTTTTATTGTTCTCTCTGCTTAATAATGTTTTTTTTTCTCATATTCTCTAACATTCTTTCACTCCTTGATTCTTAGTGGCTTCATTGCTTTGCTTGGGGTGAAATGACTCTAAAGACAACAACAAACAAATGGAAATAAAAGTTAATTAAATATCATTCA